TCATGAGGTAGAGAGGTTAGCTAGACCTGCTGAGCCAAAGGAACCTGCCATCTGCTCTGATGCAGTGGCAAAAAACATGGAAAGCTTAACAGTTTGCCGTTAAACTTTAAATTCTATTTGCCATTAGGGTAAAATGGCAGATGCTTTTCCAGAACACCATTTCCCTCATTTGTTCCATAGTGCTTCACTGTGTACCTCCTTCTCAAAGCAAAGGAAGAAAAAGGGACAAGAAAGACGGGGGAAATAAGAGGAAAAAGCAATGAGCCTTTGAAGCTTACAAGTGTACCGCAGGGAGGTAAGGAAGATGGTTATAGTGGGCACAGTGATCCAGTGAGGTGAAGCAAGCAGCACCTGTTTGCCATTTGCGGGCCTAAATGTCTTGACTGAACCCTGTTGTTGCCCATACAGTGGGAACAAGGAAGGAAAAAAATCCTATGTTTTCCTATGTGCTGAGTAAAACTGTACACAAATGTTTTGCCACGCCTTGATCAGAATTTGGTAAGGACTCATTCTGGGGCTAAATCTAGACCAGGAACTTCTAAGTAGGAATCTTGGATTTAGAACATGATTGGCCATGCGTATGTTATGATTTCTGTCATTGAAAACAAATTTCTTGTGTCATTTGCTGTGTTAAAATACTCTGTCAGCTGTATCAGCAGCCTTAACAAGTTTTATAGTAGTTTGACAATAAATTATATTCTGAGTAATAGTAAGACTATTTTGCTAGGCAAATATGTGTATTAGAATTAAAAAGATTTTATGCAAACTCCCCTTGGATGTCATAATCTGAATCTTTCTATTATCATGGTCACTGCACCTGAACAAATTGATTTGAAGTTGCAATGAAGAGCAACAGTGACACATGCTAAATATTGAGTTTCCACATAAAGTGACACACAACTTGAGAGATCTAATCTATAACAATTACCTAAGCAAATCACTGATCCGAGCTGAATTTTAATTTTGATTTTTCAACCCTTATGCATGCAAAATGTGTGGATAGTGTTATTATATGGTTTAGGCTTGAGATGGTCCTGGGCATAGTTGCATTGGATGGACTCAGGAGTTTCCTGTTGCAGTTCTTGTTAGGGAGAGACAAAGTTCTTGGTTAGCTTCCCAAGCTTTCCATGATGTGGCCATACAAAAATCAAGCTTTAAATCAACTGGTTTCTAACAGGACTAAGAAAATAGCACAGCTCCTTGCACTAGAAGCCTTCCTTCATTTCTCCAGAAGTCTCCACAAGGAGGAAGTAAGCTCACTCTTTAATGGTAGGGGACAAGAAATTATTAATCATTTACCTTTGCTAAAGAAGCTAAAAGCACAACTGTGACATCAACTTTCCATGATGGGCATTGCCTTGTGGGAAATAAAACATGGCAGCTTCCCAGAGCCAATCAGACTCAAGCAACTGCTCAGTTCCTAGCCTATCAACACAGTGCCAGCACTATTAGACTCATCTGGGGGAGACTAGGTGGCTTGCAGCTTGCAGCACCACCAGTTCTAGCATCCATGTAAAACAGCCCTAGTAGTGGAAGGAGATGGGTGCAATGCCAGAAAAGATGGCTGCATGGGCCAGGCAAGATATCAACCCTGGTGTGCCACACGATCTTCAACAGCAACCTAAAGGTTCTGTATCTAGGTCTTCTCATAAAATCATATAAGTTAGTTCAGGGAAGAATGATAGTAAGCCCTGTTACACCTAGATCTTGCCGAGTGTAAGAGTCTAAGATCATGCATGATGCTACCAATTTCTGTATAAAGTGAAGGACAAGGAAATCTGCTAAAAATGGGGAACTACAGAGTTCTTGTCTAATTACTCTTTAGTCCCTTATTGACTGATTTTATCTTCCACAATGAAATGTACAGCATGGGATATTGAGGTTGGTTTCCAGCCCACTATAGAGCTGTTGTCTGAGTGTTTTCAGAGGCTGGTGGCTGCACCAATACCAGGGAAGGGAAGGGCTATGATGAAAGCCCACAGAAACTTGGCAGCAGCCCTATTACAAGACTTACAAAACACTTGCAGGACAGCAAATCATGCTTAAAATCAGTGTGAAGCATGCAGTCTCAGTGGATTGTTTCACCATGCTGTTGTGCATCTATACATGCAATCTCCAAACACACACACACACACACACACACACACACACACAAATTGGCAGTGCGAACAGGCCTTTAGACAGAAGGACTCCTTAGATACTATGGATGGTAGAAGCCACTGTTCATGAATTAATAAAAGACATCTACTTCAGATCCAGATTCTAGTGTTCTGTATTCAGAACCCAATAATATTACAGCATCAATTTTTTGTTTCTTTAAAAGATACAAGAAAGAAGAAAAATGCCACTAGATGCTAGCCTAAGCAGGCAAAGATTCCCATGGAAGTCATCATCGAGTTTGCACTCACACATGGTGACTTCTAACAATGACATGTTCATTCTTTCTTTAGAAATTCAGGAAACACTTTCCACATATTGGTATTCCTTCACTGTTTTCATTGGAAACAGTTGGAAACAGGAGAGCAGTGGAGTCTATTTTTTTTCCTGCTGTCAACTAGTTACAAATGAAAAGGTAGGGAGGATTTTGATCCATTGACTTCTGAAGAAAAAGGCATCAAAGCTTTCCATTTCCAATTACCTTAACTCACTATAATACAGGTGTGGAAACTCTAAGAGACCCTGTCGACCCTGGATTAATAAAACTTTGGTTCTTTTCTGATATTATGTATCACATGATACTTGTGATAAATTAAAAATCTCAGATGGGATAGTCAACTATTTTTATACATGTATCTTCCATTCATATATGCATAAACTATTATGAAAGTCACAGAAGAAAAGAAAGAAGGAGAGAAATGGAATGAGAAAGCTGAACAATTTAACATGTGCTGTACTATACCAGCACATTTATTTTTAGCATTAAACCCCTCTCTTCATAATTTTCTCCCAGTATGGGAAAACAAATGAACTAAATATTAGAAAATAAATCAGTTTTCAGGAAAAGATGCATTTTCCTGGATGCACTGGTCACCACTGTGCCAAGAGTTACTTGGGATACAGTTTATACTGACAGCAATAGGTTCACTTCTAAGGTAAACCAGAGTCCATTTTCCAATAGAAATGGCATCAGTAACTGATCTGTTTTTATAATAGGCAGATTTGCTAGAAGCATGAAGTTAATGTTTTTCATCTGCATTATTTCAAATGATTGGAATCACAGAATGACAATACAGTTAATCAAAAGAGGTAGAATGTCTTTCTTTTAGGCATACTAAAGTCAATTAAGCATACTAAAGCATTGTTAGTTTAGCAGCCACAGCAACAAACACATGATATTTTATTCAGATTATAATTCACAGGATCCTCTGTTTTGGATTCTCTCAGGCCCCTTATCTTTTATTAAAACAAAACTCTCTTTGATTTGCTAGACAGCTGAGGCAATTGATTATCCATTGCTAGAGATAAACTTGAAAACTACACACTTACCTACCACCTTTTAGCAACTCCCATCAAGAACATTATGGCTTGTTTAGTCCTTATCTGTCTGGACTGTCATTCTTCCAGAGAGTTGTTAGCTTATTGAAGAGATAAAGCTTTTTGCATCCATGTCAAAAGTTGGTCCTCTTTTCCAGCTATTCCAATATACCATGTAAGCCATGCATAATGGAACTGACTGGATCATAACTAGGAGGCTGAAATTATTACAAACGAGCTCAGTTTGGCTTATGCCAAATAATATATAATGCACTCAGGATGAAGATGTTAGCTTATCACTGTCAGGACAAAATGAACAAAAGCTTTGCTATAATATGGATGCTGAAAGCCTGGTGCTATAAGAACAGCTAAGGTGGTATGCTGAGCTGATCAGGAAACCATGTTACAAGTCCTGTTCCCCAGGCACACCTTAGAGATGCTAATGCATGCCTGTCCTGAACTTCTTCTTTTTGGGTTGCTTGTCTAAATCCATTCAGCCCTTTTGTTTTTACCATCATGTAGCTCTAGCAAACTTGCTATGAGATTCCCCCACCCAACTTTGTAGTTCCTTCTGGGAACTACCCACATGTTGCATGTATATCCTGTATGTCTGAATAAGCTGTAATGTTCTTTTCATTTCTGCATGCTTGCATTCTCTGTTTCTTGACATAATCCAATGGGCTTGCCAGCAACCCTCCAAACATAGGAGATCATGGACATCCTACGCAGACTGGGCAAAGTGCAGAGGTGAAGGTTGCCTCCAGGCCCCGTCTGCTCTGCAAAGGAGCAAGGTGGCTGATTTCAGCCATCTACCTCCGGCACTTCTAATGGGGAGGGAAGTAGGATTCATTTCCTCCCCTCCTAAGCTACTGAACCACTTTTCCAAGGTTGCTGTTACAGCCTCAGAGAATCAGACAGCATACTTCTTCACAAGGCAGCTATGATAAGAAGAGGGGAATCTTCTCTTGCAGATCCCCAACTCTGAGGCTGGAACTCCTCCAATCTCAGACCTGGAATTTGAAAAATCCTTTGCTAGGAGATGGAGGATTACTCTTTAGTATAAAATGTTCCTGTGATGCACTATTGCATATTTTTTCCTGGGGGCTGGAATTGCTCCACTCATACATACTGTATGAAAATGCAAATTCAATTTAAATTGAAATAAATAATTTTCATTTCACTTCAGTTTCAGTGCAAACCAGTCCAAATAGTTCTGTTTCAATGCAAATAACCCCAGGTTTCTGGATAGCTTAAAATTCAGCACAATACAAAATAACTAATAATAGAAACCACATGCATAAAGATCAAAACCTGGTAACCATTATTCCCTACATGCAAGTCCTTCACTTTTACAGTTCACCTGGTTACCTGGCAAATGAATTTGTACCACCACAACTGAAAAATTGACTGAAAATAACAGAGCTATTTCTCCTTCAACCACAGGTTTTGCTTTTGAAGTGCATTTTGAAATTTTCTTGATTGTATACCATTTACTCTCTTGTCAAGTAAAAGAAAGACTTTCTCACCAGTTTCACAGCTTGGACCTGTGAATCCCTGTGGACATGCACAGACATTGGAAGCAATACAGGCTCCACCATTTCTACAACCATCTTTGCAAAAAGCTGAAACCATTAAAAAAATCATGTCAGGATTCACAGTTTTATTTTAAAAGCAACAACTTAATATTGAGTATTCCTTAAATAATGTGATAGTCTTTAGTGATACTGCTCCAGTTCACACATAGGACTGACAATTCCTGGGCTGTTTAATTCAAGAACTGAACCCAGAAGCAACAGGTTGTTCATGGGTTAAATAATCCAGAGTTAATGCAAAAATTGCCCATGGTTTCGTACTGGGTTTAACCCATGAACAACCCAGAATTGCTTGGTCTGGGCACCATGAACCACCAATAAATGACATTATTGGGTTGTTGATTAAAAGTAGAAGTGCATGGCCCATCCTACTCCACCCCATCCCCTATACACACTTGTCCTGTAGTTGCATTGAATTACATGTGAATGGGTCATTGTTCCAAGTTTCCTATATTTGTAACACATTTTCTCACTGCTACTGTCCATCCCATCATAAAAAAACAAGAAGAGCCATGCTGGATAAGACAAAAGACCTTAGAATTCTGAATTTACATGGTAGCCAATGATGTTTTGATGTTCCAAGATCTGAAGACATCAAAGCATCAGCATGCAATGTTTTTCATACAGGTCCTTTGCTGATGATAAGGATGACTGACTGAAAAAAAGTCGTAAACTCGCAGCTTCTTTGGCACTTTTATCCAATGGTGGAAGAGCAACATTAAAAAGCTCAAAACCACACAGATGCCTTGATTGTAGAATCGTGTCCATATAATTGGATCTTGGCAGAAGGAAAGTTTTCCATTTGAAAGACCACACAGTGGCTCTAACCATGCTTTTGTGGGCCATCAAGATGTTATACTAAAGGTTTAACTGAGCTTAGTCCCTTAATCATTTGTTTGTATAATAAATATTGCCCATTCAGCAGGTAGCAAGGTCAATATTTCTTTTACAGAATTTAGAGATTTCTATAATGCTACTAATTAGAAATTTTGGCCGCCACTCCAACAGTCTGGGAAGAAGAAATCCAAGTGCAAGGAAACTTTTAAGAGATATGAGGCAATCTATTGGCAATACATTTCTTACTGAACGGATTACGCCATTCAGTAAGCCATGTGCCAAAGAGTTGTAATTACCTGAAATTCTACAGTGCATCACTTGTATATGTGGCAAACATATGTTTCCTGCTCTGTAAGTATCTATGCTGACATTTATAATGGTGAATTATGGAATTATTTCATTTGGTGATTATCAGATGGTACTGCTTAAAGGCACTGCACCTCAATTATTAATATTTATCTTGCAGGCATGCAGACAATGTTCTAATTTATCAGTCTGAAGGTAAAATTAAGCAAGAAAAGATACACAACTGTTTTTTGTCTGAAAAGCTTACCTTTGCACACAGTGCCATTTCCAGTATAGCCTGGCTTGCAAATGCAATTGTGACCTCCCACAGTGTTGAAACAAAGTGCGTTTTCGTCGCAGTTGTGCTGGTTTGTGAGGCATTCATCGTGCTCTGAAAGGTGAAAAATAAACACATGCTACTTTAATAAGTCAGCAACATATATGAATATTTTGATATGCTTTGATATATTCTTCCAATTATGGCAGGATCTTAAACCACCTTCTAGCTTGCTAGTAAAAGTACTCCTTATTACAGATTTTATGCCTACTTACCTGGAAGTAGGCCCCAGTGAATTTGGTAATTGTTATTTATGGATAGGCATGTGCAACTATGTGCTATAACAGGGAAACCTTATGCATGTTTACTGAGGGGGCAAATGTGTTCCATGGGGCTCACACTGAGGTCTGCAGGATTGCAGTATGAGGGCACCATCCCATCCAGTGAACACTAGGAGTTCTAGGACCTTTTCCTGTCTAAAGATACATAACATCGTGCGCTAAAATTCCCCATCTAATTTGGAGTTTAGAAACCAGGAGCATGCAGTTGCAAGATTCAAAGGTGATGAAAGGACACATTGGATTTTGCACAGATAACCTGCAGTCACAATTTCTGAATGCTGAAACAATACATGGTATTTATTTTTTTCTATTTATTTTGTCCTGTCTGTTTTCCAAAGTGTTCAGGGCAAGATATGTGCCCGTAATTTAGTTAGTCCAAGAGACAGTGTCTGGTTCAGAGATATGAGATAAGCATCATGGCTAAGCATGAATTTGAACTTCGCTATTCTGGGCTCTAGTCTGATGCTGCATCACACTGACTCAGTAAATGCTCGGCATTATTTTGTCTATCAGAATGTCCAGAGCTTTATTTTCAACCCTCATCCCTTCTCCAAACAAAAAACAGAATCCCTAGCAGTGTTCACATTGTGGGGTAATTTTTGATTTCAGATGAAATTGCCTCAGGTAAGGCAAGTCTTTATTCTGGATAAATGTTTCCTTCAAGGGGTTTTACTCAACATAGGAATGACATGTACAGTGGTACCTCAGCTCACGAATGCCTCAGTTCACGAACAAATCAGATCATGAACAAAAATTTCATAAAAATTTTGACTCAGGTTGTTTTGACTCCTCATTGGTCACAATCGTGCTGGGGGTGGGAGGGAGATGGCTGAGATCACATCTGTCTTTCCTGCACGAGCATGCCTGTGATTGCGCCCATCTTTCCTGCAGAAGTGCAACCAGGATCTCGGCCATCTCCCCCCCAGCATTATCACACCCGTCTCCCCCAAACTGAGCATGCCCGTGATCACGCCCATCTCCCCCCCCCCCACCACACTGGGATGACAGGTACATGCAGGGATGAGGGGCGCGATAACAGTCATGCTGGGGGAGCGGGGAGATGGCCGTGCTCGAGCTTAGGGTGGGAGGAGGGGAAGATGGCCTCGATCTTTGTTATTCTCTGTCACTTTGCTTTAATTTTTTCTGATTAAAAAGAATAGTTATAGACTGGATTAACCTTATTTACATTGAACCTTATGGGGAAATTTAACTTGGCTCACGACCAATTTGGGTTATTACCAGAGTCCTGGAATGGATTAAGTTCATGAGCCAAGGTGCCACTGTACAGGTAATTTTAAGTTTAAGCTTTTCTGAAGATAAGCAAAGCAAGGAAATCTGCAAAATAATGCCTGACCTGTTGATCCTTGATCTTTGTAACAATAGCATAGCCTACAACCTTGAAAGAATCATAAAAAACTTTTCCCTGAATGGATTTTAAATCTGTGGGTGTTTTAGGCCAGGAACTTTGCAACAATGTCCAAGAAGGATAACTCAGAAGGACTACTTAAGAGTAAGTGTAGGCTAGGGGGATTACAGTTACCCCAGGATGCATGATATGGTTAATGTTCAATATATGTGCTTACTTATTTATCTCCAGTCCTATGCTATTGAACAATAGAGACCGGAGGCCTGAAATCTTCAGCAGATTCCTTGAAGGTTGGCTGAGAATTGCAGGCCTTTCTTTTATCTAAACTTGTATAGGATTGTGCTATATGTTTACGTGAATGTCTATAGACACCAAATATTTCAAGCAGGGTTAACCACATGAGGACTGCATACCTGCCTGAACTTTAGATTACTGCCAAGCTCCTAACTAGACATTTTCTTTAATTTTTGAGAAATATAATTTTAGATGGCTCAGATACATTATGACAGCCCCTTTGATGCTTCGGTTAGGTAGCTTTCAAACTGTATTCCAGGGAACCCTGGAGTTCCTGTGATGCTGATCAGAGGTTCTTCAAAGAGAAGATCAGGAACAGCAGACCAGCTTCATTAGAAGGCAGTGTGCCTGCTGCTACTCATCCTCTTCCTTCAACATGCTGCCCCAAGAGGATTTGGGGTGTATGCTAGGCTACATTCTTGGTTCTCGCAGAGCAAAAGTGGATTCCAGTAAAGCCTGTGCCATCCACTTGATGTGAACTGCCTATGGGCAGTCTGAAGGCCATGTGTATCTAGTTGTGAAGCACACTACAAGCATCTCTCCTTCCCTTCCTTTTAACTGCTTTAGAACTGCATATATACTCTGCAACTATGTCAAAACAGCAAAAACTACTGGCCAATGGTGATGTAAAAACAGCAACAAGTTCTTAGTGTGTGTGGCAATCATCGCGTCATCATGGCTGCAAGAATAAAATGGAGATTTATTTTCTATCTACCACACTTTGGGGGTTCATTAGGGGGTAAGGATTGGGCTGAGGGGACCTGGACTTTGACTCAAGGTCCAACCCTAACTGTGCCACTGACTGTGGGCTTTAGAAGTTCCAAAATTGCATACAATGTGCAAGGAGTTTACGATTTTATTCAATTTTATTTATTTCCATCACCCACTAGTCAAAGCCATCTGACTGGTCCTCAGAAAAATACCTAAATTCTTAAAATACAATAACATAGTAAAGTAAAATACAAAATCCCATGTGTTTCAAAACAAAGATAAAAGCAAGAAGCAATGCAAAGAACTTAAATGCATTAATAATTTTAGATCATTTATAATGTACTAAAACGTTTCATGAACATGCTGCATGGAAGTTCATTACTTCACAATACTGAGTGGTTAAATGAACATGAGCTTCCATCATGACACATGATTTGACACAATAGGCTGTTTAATAGACTGGTCTGGAGATAAAACTGGTGACATAGATTGATTTGGAAGGCAATACAAACTCTGTGTTATCTTCTGACTGCGGAGTTTTCCTCAAAGCAAAACTCAGAACCTAGAGCAGCAGTTAAGGTTCAGGACTTGCCTAGAGGTTATGGGGTCTCACTACTACCCACCCAGGATGTATTCTGGCAGGACAAAAAGATACAGAAGAGAAGAGACCCTCATAAGTATTCTAGACTGAAGAAGGAGGCAAGACTCCTTGAGGCCAGGAAAAGTGTTTGGTTGCAGTAGATGACTCCTCAGGATTGAGAGGCTTCTCAAAGGGAGACTTTCCCCAAATTCTCCTAAGAAGCTGTAGCTGCATCCTGCAGCTGGATCTGACAGCTGCTGCTTAAGACAAGCAGCAGAGGGCCAGAAGGTTGCTGGAAACAACATTTATGCTCCTTTTCTAGCGCCAGACCTCCTAGCTTTTCATTGATTTGAACCCTTTTTTGACTGTCTGCAGAATGCACCTCTTGCCTGAACCATGCTGGCTGTGGTGTCTTACAACCACGCCCCATTTAATCGATTTGTGAAATGCTAGTGACCCCTATTCCTGTCTGAACCTTCTTTCTGGCAGCTTCCTCTGCTCTCTGATCTGTGTAGAGCAGAAAGTATCCCTTATTAATTGTCCCAGATCTGCTAGTCCATCCTGGGCCTTGGGAAAGCAGGGCAATACAATAACAAGAAAATGAAACTGCAGACCAAGAAGCAGGGAAAAGAGGGAAGACATGCATTCCTGATTCTCCAAACTATTGTTTGGGAAAGTGAAAAAAGGTGTCTTAACTCAGCCATATTGTGACCCCTAGTTTTTCCTCTGGTTCAAATAATAAATCTTACTGTTGTGTTCAGAACATTTGGTCCAGTAATTCTTAAACATTCAGCAAAGCATATTTTTAAAAACTGCTGTTTTCAGTTCTTGAGGCATGCAGTTTAATTACTCTCAACTCAGCATGAACAACTACATAATTTCTAGCTACCTCAATAACCTTGCTGTACTGTACAGCTTGGTAACCTCCAGGAACAGTGACTTCCACAGGCTGACTGCGTGCAGGGAGGGGAAGCATTTACATGATAGGATCAATCTATTAGGAAAGAGAAAAGTCACAGCTTTGCAGATTAGGGCTATGGTGTTAGGTGTACTACAGAATTAAGTAGATCATCTTGGCCTCATAAAGTTATTGAAATGCACTGATTTTTTTCTTATTTCATGTAATGTAATGTTAATGGTATATCTTGGGAAAAAGAAAATACCCAAATATCTATTTATTTGCTTCCTTTGGAAAGTATTGTACCTTTGGAAAGTATAGATTCAATTTATCCCATTATATGGATTTGTTGGGATGGAAGCAAAAATTTCTTACCATAAGAAATTGCCTATATAATGTAGCAGTTTGCCTTTAAAATTACCTTCAGATATGGAAAGTGATGGCAGTCTTTCACGTATTAATTATACAAAAATGGCCTTGTCCTTGCATTGATAGCTCTAAGAACCAAGCTCAAATTATTCAGTTTCTGTGCGGTTTCATTAACCAGCTGCCCTCTTCCACTGCCTGGTGTTTGAAGAGTAGAGTCCTATGAGTTTGTCATATCAGTCACTTTTGTCCCTCTAGATTCCCTTTACATCAGTCCTATTCCCTGGCCACCAGAAATAGTGTTTCTTTTTTAAACATTTCAGTTATGGAGCCCCTTCCATGAAGAAATCCAGCAGGATCTCTCTCTGTGTTTTCAAGTATGCTCTGAAAAATACTGTTAAAGTTTTGATTAAATTTAAGTTGCTTATTCTGACTTGCTTTTATACATTTTCTTTTTATTTGCATTCTAGTTGTATATTAGCATTTTTACTATTTTCATATCTTTTTAGGATAGCTTCTGAGAAGCTTCTGAAAGGCAGGCTTTAATTCCAAACAAGA